ACCATAAAGCAAAGTCGAGTAGAATCACTAACAACAATACATCCCTCCCCGATGTGGTCAACGCATTCTATGGTCATTTTGAACGGTAGGTCAGTGAAATGATATTACCTGCCCCAACAGCCTCAGGCACACCTATGCCCAGTCACCACAGCACACATCAGTTCGGCCTTCTCGAGGGTGAACCCATGGAACGCAATTAGCCCGGATGGAGTCTCAGGCCATGCACTCAGATCCCGTACGGACCAGCTGGCGAGAGCATTCGCAGACAACTTTAACCTCTCCTTACTACAATAGAAGGGTCCGACCTGTTTCAAGATGATCACCATGATCCCGGTGCCAGAGAAAAATCAGGCAGCGTGCCTTCATGACTACTGCTCAGTGGCTCTGAGCATGAATGGGCATTAGGAAGTGCATCGTACGGTTAGTAATGGCGCACATCAACTGCGGCCTCCCAGATTGCCTTGATCCACTGTAATTCACCTACTGTCACTCGAGGTCCACAGCAAGTGCCATCTGCCTGACCCTACACTCATCCCTGGAATATCTGGATAACAAGGACACCTTCATCAGTCTCCAATAATTGAATTTAGTCCACTTTAACAACCTAATTCAATAATACTCATTTCCAAACTCCAAGACCTAGGAGTCTGCTCCTCCCTCTGCAACTGGATCCTTGAATTCCTGACCCATAGACCGCAATCAATAGAGACAGGCAACATCACCTCCTCCACAATAATCCTCAACACCAGTACCCTGTAAGGAAGTGTACTCAGCCTCTAACTCTACTCCTTATACACCCATGAATGTTTGGCCAAATTCAGTTCAAACTCCATTTATAAATTTGCTGATGACACCACCCTAGTGGTTTGGATCTCAAACAACGACAAGACAGAGTGCAGGAAAGAGATAGACAACTTAGTGGTATGGTATAAAGGCAACATTCTCTCCCTGAATGTCAGCAAAACAAAGGAGCTGGTCATCGACTTTAGGAAGTGGCATGGAGGACACGCCCCTGTCTGTACCAATGGTGTTGAGGTGGGGTTGGCCGAGAGCTTCACGTTCCTAGGAGAAAATATCATCAACAATCTGTCCTGGTCCATCCATGTTGACGCTAGAGTCAAGAAAGTGCACCAACACCTCTACTTCCTCAGAAGGCTAATGAAATTCAGCATGTCTACAATGTCTGAATCATAGATTCATAGAATACCTACTTTGTGAAAGCAGACCATTCTGACCATCAAGTCCACACAGGCCCTCCGAAGAACATCCCACCCAGATCCATCCCCCCATCCTATCCTAGTAATCCTGCATTTCCCATAGCAATTCCAACTAGCCTACACATCCCGTGGCAATTTAGCATGGCCAATCCAGCTAACCTGCACATCTTTGAACTGTGGGAAGAAACTGGAAAGTCCAAAGGAAACCCACGCAAACGTGGGAAGAATGTGTAAACTCCACAGAGACAGTCGCCCGAGGGTGGAATTGAACCCAAGTCCCCGGTGCTGTGAGGCAACGTTGCTAACCACTGAGCCACCGTGTCACCCTTTTATAAGCTGGGGCTATTTTCCCAGGAGCTTCGGAGGCTGAGGGTGACCTTATAGAAGTTGAGAAAATCATAAGGGGCATGGATAGGGTGAACAGCCAAGGTCTTTTTTCCAGGGTGGGAGAGTCCAAAACTCAAAGACAGAGGTTTAAGGTGAGAGGGGAAAGATTTAAAAAGGACCAAAAGGGGTAACTTTTTTCACATGGAGGGTGGTGCTGCATGGAACAGGATGCCAGAGGAAGTGATGGAGGTGGGTACAATTATAATGTCTGAAAGACATCTGGATGGGTATATGAATAGGAAGCATTTAGAGGGATAGAGCCAAATGCTGGCAAATGGGACTAGATCAGATTAGGATGTGAGGTCAGTGCTGACAAGTTGGACCGAAGAGTCTGTTTCCATGTTGTGTGGCTCTAAGCTTTTACAACTGTTACCAATTTTTATAGAAGCACTGTAGAAAGCAACCTATCCAGATGCATCACATCTTGGTATGGCAACTGCTCTGCCCAAGGTGGCAAGAAATTACGGAGAGTTGTGAACACAGCCCAATCCATCACGAAAACTCCACAACTTATACAATTAAAAGCAGGGCCTTGGATAGTGTTGTAGAACGGAGAGACCGAGGGGTTCACAATTCTTTGAAGTTTGCATCACATATAGATGCAGTGGTTAAAAAGGTGATTAGCATGCTTACCTTCATTTCTCAGGTCTTTGAGTGTAGGAGTTGGGAAGTCATGCTGAGGTTGTACAGGACATTCGTGAGGCCTAAACTGGAATACTATGTCCAGTTCTGGTCTCACCTTTATAGAAAGGATATTATTAAGCTGGAGAAAATTCAAAAGAACTTATGAGGATGTTGCCAGGAATAGAGGGTTTGAATTATGAGGAGAGGGTGGATAGGCTGAGACATTTTTCACTTGAGTAGGAGGTTGAGGGGTGACCTTATATAGGTTTATAAAATCAGGAGGGGCATAGATAATGTGAATAGCAAAGGTCTTTTCCCCAAGGTGGGGGATTTCAAGACTGGAGGGCATATTTTTAGAATGAGAGGAGAAAGATTTAAAAAAGACATCAGGGACAATTTTTTTACATAGAGAGTGGTTCGTGTATGGAATGAACTTCCAGAGGAAGTGGTGGATGTGGGTACAGTTACAACATTTAAAAGACATTTATATAAGTACATGAATAAAAAATGTTTGGAGGGATATGAGCCAAGTACAGGCAGGTGGAACTACTTTAGGTTGGGATTATGGTTGACATGGACTGATTGGACCGAAGGGTCTGTTTCTGTGCTGTATGACTCTATGACTCTGTCTACACTTTCTGCTGCCTTTGGAAAGCAGACAACATGATTACAGACCGTTCCCACCCTGGCTATACTCTCTTCCACCCTCTTCTATCAGGCAGAAAGCGCAAAAGTTTGAAAACACATACCAACAGATATAAGAACAGTTTCTTCCCTGCTGCTATCAGACTTTTGAACAGACCTCTCATATATGTGTCGATCTTTCTCTGCATCTTCTCTGTTTCTGTAACACTACATGCTGCTTTCTGTTCTATCACTCTGATGTACTTATGTAAGGTACAATTTTTCTGGTTAGTATACAATACTTCTCACTGTATCTCAGTACATGTGACACTGATTAATCAAATCAAATAAGCATATATATGGTAAGAGTGATTAATAGAGTACAGCCAATCAGAAGCCGAAACGAGATTTACAAATGGAGGCAGAGAGGATGAGTGAGGTGTTAGATGAATACTTTGCACATGTCTTTACAGAGGAGGAGGATGCTGCCCAAGCCATAGTGACAGAGGAGTAAACTCCGTCACTAAATTGATTTAAAATTAATAAGAAGTACTGGATAGATTGTTGACACCTAAATTCAACAAGACACCAGGACCAGGTGAGATGCAGCCAAGGATGTTTGAAGGAAGTGAATGTAGAAATTATGGAAAAGGTCACATAGATAAAAGTGAGTTGGGTTCAGAAGAATCAGGCAGGTAACAAAGAACTTCCCTATGGTCCTGGTCACTAATCAGTTTTCCATTTTGGAAGCTGAGGAGGGCACTGGTACTTCAAGGGAATGCAGTCAGAGGCAGGCTTCTGGCATCACAACAGTGAGGAGGAGGAAGAAGAAAGCAGGGGCAATAGTGATAGGGGATTTGTTAATTAGGGGAACAGATAGCGTTTCTGTGGCTGCAGGTGAGTAAGCAAATATGGTAGAGGTGCCTGGATGGAGAGAAAGAAAATTAGGCAGACAAAGAGATCAGTGATACCATCACAAAATACCATCCCTTTTGTCTGCTAATTTTCTTTCTTTCTCTCTCTCTGGGCTCCATCTCCCCTGATCACTTACTCCTTCTTCTGCCCAACTCTGTCATCAGCATAACACTGACTTTTGGCAGAAGGTGAGTTACAAACCATAGAATCCCTTACCTCTGACCTGCTCTTGCAATCATTGCATTTATATGGCTAGTCCAATCCAGTTTCTAGTCGATGGTAACGCTCCAAGCTGTTGACAGTCAGAGATTCGGCGAAAGCGATTCCATGAAGTGTCAAGGAATGATGGATAGATTTTCTCTAATTGGAGATAGTCGTTGTCTTGCACTCATGAAGCACAAATGTTACTTGCCACTTGTCAGCCCAGTCCTGGATGTTGTCTAAATGTTTTCCAAGTCTAACTTGTCAAAGACTGCAGCCAAGTCAAGAAGGATGAGAAGGAAATATTTACCTTTGACACTTTCTCAAATTATGTCAACGGTGGCATCTTGAGTGTACTATAAACCCTCTAACAATCTGAGAGGAATAGAACAGCAGAAACAAAAACAGAAGTTGCTGGAAAAGCTCAGCAGCTCTGGCAGCATCTGTGAAGAGCAATCAGAGTTAACGTTTCGGGTCCGATGA